TTACAAATGACCGTGGGCCTTGTATAGTAAGTATTATTAGCACCTTGGATATTTGTAATTAGGGCTTGCCTTGCACATTGTTTCATGTTTTGACTTTTGAATATCCAGTAGGTCTAGTACATCTGATTAGCCTCAACAATCTACGGACAACATAATGTCATGTTTCAAGGACTTGACATTTTGATCCCTTTGAATACAGCTAGTCTTTTCGACATATGAACAGTTATGACGAATATTTGTCCAACGGTTTGTGGTATTTGATTACTTAACTAGCAACGATTCAAAGAGCAGGTTGTTCAATGGAACAAGGAGAGACAAAAAATATGTATAATATATTAGCTTATCTGTATATTGACATATCAATATCTTATGTTCGTACATACTAATTTGTCGTGGGACAAAGCTGAGAGTTGGATATTGGACTCAGAAATAATTGATTGTATCTCCTGCTAAGAGACCTTCCAAGGGAAGAACTGTAATGACTATTCCAATCCAACATGACCTACTACACTTTCAAAGTACATGATCTCCTCCTCACCTATATATCTGATCTTTCATATATTTTGGTTGACAATTAATTGTGTGATTCTGTAACAGGGTTTGAAAGCATCATTCCCGCCTTTTCACAAGAAATTTCATGCGTTGATGTTACAATTTATATGGTTTGCCTTTACATTGTCTCACTTTAGAGATACACTCGGGTTGAGCTGTGACTTCATGATTACGTTGTATATATCTTCTGCTTGGTCAATAATTTTGATTTATGGTGTTTTATGAATTGAAAAACACTCCTTGTGTGAATGCAAATATTTTACAATAGCCCCGTAGAAGTAAAATTGTCCAGTTGAAGCCATATAAGAGTAAAAATTTTAGGTTATGATAAATCTTGGGGTTAACCCGGTTTTTGTCCGATGTGACCTTGAAGTGCTGCAATGTGCAGATAGTATAAATGTGGAAGTGTACTGGGTGCTTACCTGACAATGACTTGAGATAACCCTAAATTTCTCTACTGCTGAGGCACCGACCTTACCTAGCCTCTTAGGTAAAAAAATGTATTTTTCTTCAGTTATGTTTCCAGAGTATGTTTTTGTTTTTTAAAATCAGATAATGTGATTTTGATTTAAGATTGGCATGTAAAATTCTAAAAACAAAAAAAAAAAAAAACATAATATATGATATGACAATGATAAGTTAACACTATACGTACCCTACATTTTTTGAAAAGTAAAGAGTTGAAAGAAAAATAAGTCAAATATTTTAATCTGAACTTAAAATATTTATTTAAAAAATATATGCCGGAAGGATGCATGTGTTCTCAATATTAATTTCCAATGACGGAAATATTCACTGTATAATGTTAAGCAAATATTTGGAGGAGCTATAAATTTCAAAGGGTTATACTACGCTGACAAACGAATTTTAAAAGTTTTCTCTCACAAACCGACGTGGTACCTGATTGACATTAGCACATCAACTGATGACTTTGATTAAATACGAATGGTCATTTCTGACAGACAAACGATCGTCCCTGATAAGGAACAATTGTTCCTTATAAAGAAACAACTATTTCGTGTGCAGAAATAGCCATTCTTCCCTCATACATGGTTGTTCCTTCAAAGGAACGACTTGTTCCATAAGGAAGGGAGGAATGACCGTTCCTTAGAGAGGAACGACCATTCCTTTTATGAACGGCCGCTTCTTAAGTCTAATCAAAATCATTTTGTGTCTTTGGTGTGGTGGGAGCTATCAACTCAACTGCCACGTCGAGTCGTTCCTTTTATGAACGGTCATTTCTTAGGTTTAGTCAAAATCATTTTGTGTATTAAATGTGATGAAAGCTACCAACTCAGCTGTCATGTTGGGTTTGTGAGATTCTATTTTATTCAATTTCAAATAAACTAAGCAATACAAGCATTAAATATGGCATCCAACACTGCACGTTGTTCNATAATGTGATTTTGATTTAAGATTGGCATGTAAAATTCTAAAAACAAAAAAAAAAAAAAAAACATAATATATGATATGACAATGATAAGTTAACACTATACGTACCCTACATTTTTTGAAAAGTAAAGAGTTGAAAGAAAAATAAGTCAAATATTTTAATCTGAACTTAAAATATTTATTTAAAAAATATATGCCGGAAGGATGCATGTGTTCTCAATATTAATTTCCATTGACGGAAATATTCACTGTATAATGTTAAGCAAATATTTGGAGGAGCTATAAATTTCAAAGGGTTATACTACGCTGACAAACGAATTTTAAAAGTTTTCTCTCACAAACCGACGTGGTACCTGATTGACATTAGCACATCAACTGATGACTTTGATTAAATACGAATGGTCATTTCTGACAGACAAACGATCGTCCCTGATAAGGAACAATTGTTCCTTATAAAGAAACAACTATTTCGTGTGCAGAAATAGCCATTCTTCCCTCATACATGGTTGTTCCTTCAAAGGAACGACTTGTTCCATAAGGAAGGGAGGAATGACCGTTCCTTAGAGAGGAACGACCATTCCTTTTATGAACGGCCGCTTCTTAAGTCTAATCAAAATCATTTTGTGTCTTTGGTGTGGTGGGAGCTATCAACTCAACTGCCACGTCGAGTCGTTCCTTTTATGAACGGTCATTTCTTAGGTTTAGTCAAAATCATTTTGTGTATTAAATGTGATGAAAGCTACCAACTCAGCTGTCATGTTGGGTTTGTGAGATTCTATTTTATTCAATTTCAAATAAACTAAGCAATACAAGCATTAAATATGGCATCCAACACTGCACGTTGTTCATTCATTCATTTATATGCACGTACATCACAAGTGCATGTCCATTACAATTCATTAAAGGTTCTTTCTCCTCCTTGAAGAAATACAACATAACCAGTGCATACAAAAAATTAATAAAAACTGGAAGACATTCGTCTTAACATTCAAGAAAATTAACACATATATAAAAGTACAGTAACAGTCTCCCAATGAAAAATTAATGATGTATATTAGACTAGACATATGTAATTAGAAAAAAAAAATAGAAAAAACTTAAGAAATTCTTGATAATTGTCAGCTCATGTCGTAAAAACAGTAAATCAGTGGACAGTCATCAGAAAAGAAGAAAGAAAAAAAAAATTGTAGTTGGGTACTTGGGTTGATGTAAGCTAGCAAATATATTGATATAAACATGCAAAATAGTGAATATGACACCCTGTAAAAAGCCTGTGAGATAGTTGTCTTTCTCTCTCACACACATGATTCAATCGATTCATTGGGTAGAAACCCAATAAAGATGATATATATTAAGAGAGCACTGGGTTCTTCTGCTTCTGGCAATTCAAGCTGTGTGTGTATAAATTTGCTGTGGCAACAAAGCACGTACTCTGTTTAATTTTTTCGATAAAAAAGTAAAGATTTACGTACTCAGTTGGGACGTACCTATAAGCCTGATAAAATTATTTAGGATGTAGCTAGACTTCTTAGTCTTAGATGCCTCTTCTCGAGGAGTACCTCGCAAATGCCGATCCATTCATCTATTTTCCGTTTTTGTATTACATCGTCACGTGTACTCACTTCCCATTCCTGGTAAAATCGTTTCAGATAAGTTCAATTTCAACCGTATGTGTAGATCATCTCTGTCTGGTTGGTTAGTTTCCCGAGCTTTCCTATTCTGAATTTTATTTTGATTAATCGACAGACCAATTTACATGTATCTTAATTAATACTTAAATCTATTGAGTACTCCACCAGTCCATGAATTCAAGTAAAACAAAAATGTGGTAAACAACTATTTTGTAAGACGCGCAGGTCCTTTGAGTAGGTACCCACCCAGATGGCTAAAGACTATTGATTCAATACAGATGTAGTGCTCGCTTTAACATATATCTATGTAATGCTGAATTTCAATTTTATAATTTTATTAATGAAATTAAAATATATTTTTATTTAGGTTTGTCTATTTGTATTTATTTAATTAATATGTAAAAACATTCTAAATATTAGATAGCGGTTGAACGACGAATGGCCATAATTCAAGTTGAAACAAATTTGTAGCCAGGCATATAAAAATAAGTATCTGTCAAGGCAAACCAAACTTTCCATTAATTGGGACATGGGATGGGCCAGGGCTAGAAGTTGGAGGTTCGTTGTCGTTTCCAGTCCTCAGAACCAAAAAATTAAAAAGAAAAAGCATGCGCACACGCTTACACTAACTCCCATTTGCATAGGCACACAAAATTAACTTTTTCCGCTGCAGTTCTGAAAAGAAAAATATATGCCTTTTTAAAGGAAAACCAAAGCCGAACGTGAAGCACATGGCCTTCTGTAATAAAACAGCCCAGCAAGAATATAATTACAAGAATTTTCAATTTAAACAACTTGGAAAATTACCAGCCATCTTGCATTTTATGAGATTAAAACAGTGAATCTTATCAAGTAAAAGAGATTTTCACAGGGCTAAAGCAGTAGAGGCAACAAAGTTTAACGGACCTACAGATCTTGAAGCTACATACTAATTTGGACCACAACAAGAGGAAGATATGGATGGACCATTCAACTGTAAGAAATCAAGAACTACTATAACAAGCACAATACCGTAGCAATCACATGCAGCACCATCCAGCAAATCTTGTGCACATTAAATATACGAGAAATAAAAAGGAAAAGTCATAGCACATGCAAATCAGAAAATTAATTGGAGTAACACCCTATGCAACTTGGTAAAGGCAGCACATACTAAGCCAAAACCTGAGACCACTAATGAAATTGACGCATGATAAGGAACCAACTTTCAAAATGATGGCTCCAATGCACTTCATGTTGACTCTTTTTCTTTATCTAGTACCTAATTTCCCCACACAACTCCTCCCTGCAAATACCTAAGACCAATATTTAACCAACTCTCTGGAAGAGTAATCACATCTTTGTATATGAAACAAGATTAGATTTTCCATTTTTCTAGGTAATGGCACCACAGAATGTACCATAAACTTCAGAAAAAGAAATTCATTTGTTTTAAAAAAATAATACATATGCAAAATTCCTATGGAAAAACACCATCATTATAGATCCATATGTAAATCACATCTTTTGTTATTTTGATAGCCAATAGATGATAAGAAACAACGTACAAGCGGCAATAACTGCAGACAGAATTAGGGTGTCTCTTGAACGCCTCCTTCTGATGGAACCTAAAAAACAAAATAGGTATAGATTAATGATGACCAACATCAAAAACTTAAAAAAAAAAAAGAAAAAAAAAAACACATGGTAGTATAAATTGTTTTATAAAGTACCAAGTAAGCCTCGAATAATGGGGAACTTATCACTCAAAGCCTTCACTTTTCCCTGAACATCTCCAAACAAAGCCCTTTGCGAGCCCAAGACAGCTCTTGTCGATTGAGCTTGACCAATTACATCATCTATCTGCACAAAGGCAAACCCAGGATTGTCATATGGACACATAACAAAGATCTTTCTACAATTTATGTCTCCAAGTTAAAGAATGGTTAGAGCAAAGATAAAGCAATCAAAAAACTAGATGATATTCTTTTTGCCAAATTTCCAAATAAAACCAAAAGGTTTTTAGCCCAATTTTTTCCCAATGCATTCAGGCATCTCGTCAAAGAACAGAAGTTTGTAGTTCATTGAGTTATTTGAACACTACCATTATGCTTTATCACAAGCCAGCTCAACTCAGCTTGGCTTGTTTACAGCTTTATTTAACCTAGCAGGTACCACATAAAAAACTTTATGGGTATTTCGGTAGGCACCACATATTTTTCTTCGGAAACCTATATAAAAGGGTAAAAATATAATTACCAGTACTTCAAAGAGGTTTATACTTGGCTTCAACTCTGTCCTCCATTTGTTAACCATTTTTATATTTTTACAAAACATATAGGAAACTACTAAACCACTGTAACATGACATATAACAATAAAAGAACATTTTGAATCTTACGTGAGCTATGCTTCCATGGATGGAAGCTCTTTCCCGTAATAACTGCATTCTTGGTGACATACTCCCAGACGCCTACATGAAGGCAGACAGTCAGGCACATCATATTTATCTTTCAGAAGGAAAAAAAAAAAAAAAAAAAAAACAAAACAAATACATTTTAGTATTTATAAGGACTAAAATAAAATGTTCAGTTTCAGTCATGCTCACCTTGTACTCACTAATATCCTCCCTAACAGAACTGAGAAGCTCTGCATGTTCCCTCATTGAGTTTATGTTTCCCTTGATTCTTCTAAATTCCTAACAAAAACAATGTAATTGGTTTAACAGGACAGAAGCCACGGACCAAAGAGTTAAGAGACAGCATCTTTCATTAAGATAAAGCACCATACAGGTCAGGTTTATAATGCTAGCAGCAGTTAAGAAATTGCCAAAGTCAGATTCTTTTAAAAGAAAGATTAGATCTAAGACTGTAAGAAACCACTCCAAGCACTACCAGACCAGTAATTAGACCATGGGATAAAAAAAAACAAATGTATATGATAATCTTAAAAAATGTTAAGATAGAAAACAAAATGTTACATAGAACTAAAATCCAAAAGTTGAACTTAAAAGATATTACTGCAGAATATAAATTTACAAATTAGGAAGTGTGAGGTAATAGCTAAAAGGGATTAAGTAGGGTTTACACAACAAAGATTCTCAAACTGTCTCTTTTGCTTCTCAAGACAAGTTGCAGCCAGTTGTCGGAAAAGTGATAATGCTCACTAAAACGATGTGAATCTTAGTAGATGCAAAAGAAATTCCTTGGGAGTAGTTGATAGCTAGCCAAAACAAGAAGTAAAAAAATAAAAATAAATAAATAACAGAATATAAAACCTGCGTAAACTCATGAAATATGTCTCTGTGCCTAGCTAGCTTCTGCGTTACTGAAGTAGTTGGTGCACCAGATGCAGCACATCTACTCATTGCATCATTTGTGTCTAGCAGCTTCTCCAGCAATGACTGGATTTCCATTTCCATGGACTTCCAGGACCTGCCAGACCCAATTGTTGGTGATCCACTATCCACATAACCTGAACAGAAAGTGTATATCATCAGAAATATAAACAACCCCCAGATATTGAAGCTTCAAATAAGAACATAATTTCAGACAGAGACAACGGGCTTGCAGGGAAAGATCACGAAACAGGTCCAATGTTCTCTAGCCTGGCCTTTTGAGTATTAAATACACATAGTAACCTCAAATTTATACTTCTATTGTTGCAAAACAAGAGATCAAACATTCTAAAGAAGCCACTTGGACCAGAAATTTTATCAATAGTTGTGTATTCAGAGCATAAGAAAAAGTTCCAGATTTAGAACTTCAATGGATAAAAAAAACTACTTCCACTGTGAAGAATGTTTCAGCATATTAACTTCATTAAGAGAAAACATAAGTGAAAGCAGAATCACTGAAGCAAACACGGTGTTGCAATACTGCCAATGCTTCTTCTAAGTAGTGCTTAAGTCTGAAAACGCGACGACAGCACTTATTTCATTAATGGCTTAAGATTAATCAATTATCAATAATCACACTCTTACATTATTCGTATACATAACTGCGGAAACCATACAAATCTACACTAAAAATACACAAATGCAAATGATAAGCATATCCCATAAACAATTCTAACATTTATGGATTTGTCCAACTTTAGATCCAAAATGCAGCGCAAATAACAAAAAAGATTTATAAACATTAATTTATCAAGGCGAATAAGATGGTATAAAGAATCAAACCTCCTTGGGTGAACCTGGCGCCGAGCTTAGCATACGACGAGAGCTTAACTTCGAGATCGCCCTCGATCTTACGTGCCTCCTTTCTGAGTTCCTCCCAACCCGATTCCTGGAGATACAGATTCGGATCTGTCATTGGATCTTTGCGCAAGTCAGTTCCCGATTCCCTTGCGTTTCGGCGGTGCCTGATTCAGTTATTACGGTTGAAAATTGAAATAATTATCGTTCTATTGCATTACTAAGGCTGCTTTATTTACACAATCACACTACCGACTCTCTTCTGCAGATCATTTGCGAGCACCGGAAATTTGAGTTGAATCTAGTCCGTCTATGAAATTGAGACCATGACGGACGGGTCCACACAACAAACAATCCGGTAACAATTGGGCTTTCAAATTAAATAGGAGCCCATGTTGAGCCCAATTGATAAGGTAACCCGATTGGCCCAATTATAATCTGTAAATATGATCCACACAGTGATCTAGTTGCTTACAAATTGGGCTATTAGCCTCATGAGATAAGCCCACTGGCGCATCAAGATACTGCGCCTCCAAGTACTATGGACCTAAAAAGAGCCCAAGTAATAGGCCTAATGGTCGTCATCTGGTTCGCATAATGGCCTAGTAACTTGCAATTTAACGATAATAATTATTTTAAAAGTAAATTATTACGGATTTGCTTGCAAACGCAACACCAATTATCAGCTTTTTAAAAGGTAACGAATTCGAAAGAGATTTCTAACAACTTTTAATTAATAAAATATCATCATGATTTATATTAGAAAATAATGACCAATTATTTGCCAATAAGCCCGTAAGGCGAAACCACTGTAACATGACATATAACAATAAAAGAACATTTTGAATCTTACGTGAGCTATGCTTCCATGGATGGAAGCTCTTTCCCGTAATAACTGCATTCTTGGTGACATACTCCCAGACGCCTACATGAAGGCAGACAGTCAGGCACATCATATTTATCTTTCAGAAGGAAAAAAAAAAAAAAAAAAAAAACAAAACAAATACATTTTAGTATTTATAAGGACTAAAATAAAATGTTCAGTTTCAGTCATGCTCACCTTGTACTCACTAATATCCTCCCTAACAGAACTGAGAAGCTCTGCATGTTCCCTCATTGAGTTTATGTTTCCCTTGATTCTTCTAAATTCCTAACAAAAACAATGTAATTGGTTTAACAGGACAGAAGCCACGGACCAAAGAGTTAAGAGACAGCATCTTTCATTAAGATAAAGCACCATACAGGTCAGGTTTATAATGCTAGCAGCAGTTAAGAAATTGCCAAAGTCAGATTCTTTTAAAAGAAAGATTAGATCTAAGACTGTAAGAAACCACTCCAAGCACTACCAGACCAGTAATTAGACCATGGGATAAAAAAAAACAAATGTATATGATAATCTTAAAAAATGTTAAGATAGAAAACAAAATGTTACATAGAACTAAAATCCAAAAGTTGAACTTAAAAGATATTACTGCAGAATATAAATTTACAAATTAGGAAGTGTGAGGTAATAGCTAAAAGGGATTAAGTAGGGTTTACACAACAAAGATTCTCAAACTGTCTCTTTTGCTTCTCAAGACAAGTTGCAGCCAGTTGTCGGAAAAGTGATAATGCTCACTAAAACGATGTGAATCTTAGTAGATGCAAAAGAAATTCCTTGGGAGTAGTTGATAGCTAGCCAAAACAAGAAGTAAAAAAATAAAAATAAATAAATAACAGAATATAAAACCTGCGTAAACTCATGAAATATGTCTCTGTGCCTAGCTAGCTTCTGCGTTACTGAAGTAGTTGGTGCACCAGATGCAGCACATCTACTCATTGCATCATTTGTGTCTAGCAGCTTCTCCAGCAATGACTGGATTTCCATTTCCATGGACTTCCAGGACCTGCCAGACCCAATTGTTGGTGATCCACTATCCACATAACCTGAACAGAAAGTGTACATCATCAGAAATATAAACAACCCCCAGATATTGAAGCTTCAAATAAGAACATAATTTCAGACAGAGACAACGGGCTTGCAGGGAAAGATCAAGAAACAGGTCCAATGTTCTCTAGCCTGGCCTTTTGAGTATTAAATACACATAGTAACCTCAAATTTATACTTCTATTGTTGCAAAACAAGAGATCAAACATTCTAAAGAAGCCACTTGGACCAGAAATTTTATCAATAGTTGTGTATTCAGAGCATAAGAAAAAGTTCCAGATTTAGAACTTCAATGGATAAAAAAAACTACTTCCACTGTGAAGAATGTTTCAGCATATTAACTTCATTAAGAGAAAACATAAGTGAAAGCAGAATCACTGACGCAAACACGGTGTTGCAATACTGCCAATGCTTCTTCTAAGTAGTGCTTAAGTCTGAAAACGCGACGACAGCACTTATTTCATTAATGGCTTAAGATTAATCAATTATCAATAATCACACTCTTACATTATTCGTATACATAACTGCGGAAACCATACAAATCTACACTAAAAATACACAAATGCAAATGATAAGCATATCCCATAAACAATTCTAACATTTATGGATTTGTCCAACTTTAGATCCAAAATGCAGCGCAAATAACAAAAAAGATTTATAAACATTAATTTATCAAGGCGAATAAGATGGTATAAAGAATCAAACCTCCTTGGGTGAACCTGGCGCCGAGCTTAGCATACGACGAGAGCTTAACTTCGAGATCGCCCTCGATCTTACGTGCCTCCTTTCTGAGTTCCTCCCAACCCGATTCCTGGAGATACAGATTCGGATCTGTCATTGGATCTTTGCGCAAGTCAGTTCCCGATTCCCTTGCGTTTCGGCGGTGCCTGATTCAGTTATTACGGTTGAAAATTGAAATAATTATCGTTCTATTGCATTACTAAGGCTGCTTTATTTACACAATCACACTACCGACTCTCTTCTGCAGATCATTTGCGAGCACCGGAAATTTGAGTTGAATCTAGTCCGTCTATGAAATTGAGATCATGACGGACGGGTCCACACAACAAACAATCCGGTAACAATTGGGCTTTCAAATTAAATAGGAGCCCATGTTGAGCCCAATTGATAAGGTAACCCGATTGGCCCAATTATAATCTGTAAATATGATCCACACAATGATCTAGTTGCTTACAAATTGGGCTATTGGCCTCATGAGATAAGCCCACTGGGGCATCAAGATACTGCGCCTCCAAGTACTATGGACCTAAAAAGAACCCAAGTAATAGGCCTAATGGTCGTCATCTGGTTCGCATAATGGCCTAGTAACTTGCAATTTAACGATAATAATTATTTTAAAAGTAAATTATTACGGATTTGCTTGCAAACGCAACACCAATTATCAGCTTTTTAAAAGGTAACGAATTCGAAAGAGTTTTCTAACAATTTTTAATTAATAAAATATCATCATGATTTATATTAGAAAATAATGACCAATTATTTGCCAATAAGCCCGTAAGGCGCAAGGAAGTTGATTGGTGGGGATCTCTCATAGGTTGTACCGTCGATCGACCTTGATTTTTTGTAAAGGGTTCGAGTGTGAGCATGTCTGTTGAAACTCAAAAGATGATAAACTATGTTTGAGCAGGGTGAAGCCAGAGGAAACTCTGGTGGAGGCTTGTAGCGATACTAACAAACAAATCGTTCGTCTTGTTTGGGTATAGGGATGAAACACTAGTCGAATTGTCTAGTAACTGGTTTCCTCCGAAGTTTCCCTCATAATAATTGGAGCTTGCGGGCAAGTTCCAAACCAATTTTTCCAACCAATAATGTCAGCAACTAAGAACTTATGGAGTCTTGAAAGCATAAAGGAATGATAAAATCCAGATTACTATCACCTGTAAAATTGACTTGTGCAATGAATGAAAAGAAAATTCAAATGTCTACTTATCCTTTTCTCATTTCTATTTGGTCATCAATTTTCCAAGTAAACATGTGAAATATGCATGGAAAGTTCCCATTCATGAACTAAATTGTCCGCCTATTTTTCAGTATATATTCCTTCAAAAAGGAAACACAAATCAAGAATATTACAGAATAAATGAAAATTAAAAGTTTGTTCATCGAATTGTTGACAATCAAGTAGGGTAGATTTTTGCTGAAGCCAAGCTCCAATCTGAACCATCAGGAACATAAATATAATATGAGTTTAGTTGATCAGTTATGTTATCCACATGAATAATGAACTGAAATAACTCATAAATATAAAAATTAGTTTACCTAATAATATTTTTAAATCATTTTTTTTTACCAACTAACATATATTAGTATAGAGAGGTGGAAGCAAGTTGTATTGATCCTTCAAATCTTTACCAAACCAAGTAAAAATAATTTTACATAATAATTTAATTATATATAATCCTGATTATATACTGTAGATTAAGTAAGATGGATCACTACCATTGGCATTGAATAATCGATGCAAGAAGACTCTTCAAAGAATTGGAAAGTCCATTGAGGGTTTTATGGAATTCAAACTTAGCTTATATATTATAATAATGAAACTGACGGAGGACATTACTTGGCAACTACATTGATTGATAAAGTAAATGAAATCTATAAATAAAAATATTAAATAACTCATTATCTAATAAATGTAACGTATTAAAAGTAGACTTGCAGTTGAAATGCCAAAATTTCGGACAGATAAAGTCCAACGAACAGCTGGGTGTTTTGATTTTTATTCCTGAAGAAAATGAATGATGTTGAGTAGAAACATACTTTCTGTACAGCCAATAAAAGAAAATTATTCCATACTTTGACTTTGTTATGCAAAAGGAAAAAGGAGGGATGCATCCCACGGTCTTAGATTCAAATCTATTTAGTTCTCAAGATTTAGGTGGGGAATAGTGATGGTGGATGGTTACGCCGTTGTTAAACTTACTAAAAAAAAGATGGTATCCTACGTAGAACTGTTTGAGAGTTTTATGATAATGGTTACGAGGGTAAATCATCGTAGCGAATTTTAGGGTAAATCATTATAACAGTTTTGAAGAGTTTTTTATAGCGATTTTTAAAACACTTAACTTGTGTTTAGGAGTTTATTTTTCAATGGTTCTAATAATTTTTTAAAATGATAAATTTATATATATGCTTATAAATATACCTCAACTCTAACTAGTATTTGGGAGTTTTGTTTTTTCAATTATAAGGTAAGAGTTCTTTATTTGTTTTCTACTTATTAGTATTCTATAACTTCGAATGTGATAAAGTTTTCTTATCCTTCTTCGCCATTCTTTGCAGCATCTGGAATGATTAAAAAATTATAACTCCACTTCTCTAATATAACATCTATAAATGAGATTTTAATAAAAAAAATTTATGATTGTTTAAAATTATTTTATATTTAATATGGTTGAAGACGTATATAATATGGTTAATTTTTATTTTTTTGGGGATATAATTGAAATAGTTTTATAGTAGATAGGGTATTTGTGGAATAAAATTTTAAAATCAACAAAAATATCTCAATTTGGGGTGTTTTATAAACCCCTAAAAAATACACTACATAAGTTCTAAAGAGTTTTTGAGCAAGTTAAAGTCAATGCAACAGAAATTTGGTAAATAATAATTTTAAAACATCTCAAAACTAGTCTAATTAAAAACTCGGGTGGAAAAAAAACTCCCAAGAATTTAATTACAATGACCTCCGATAATAATGTTAGCTACTGATGATGCACAAAAACATTGGCAGATAGAGACATATCATATATAGTTAAATTTACTGTTGATAATATTTTGTCCCACGCTTTGCCTGGACGACCAAGATGCAGAAGAACAGCCCAGTACATGTGTCGGTACAATAAGGAGACTGTCGTAAATATAATACAGAAACTATATAGATAAATTGTAAAACATGGTCAGAATTGGACATTTTATTTTTGTTTTGTTGGTACTTGGTTGGGAGATGTCTACCATAGCATTTCCTTTAATTCCGAGAGATTCAAAACATGGTTCCATTACTTGTCGATTTTGACATAAAGATTTGAAACTTAGGCATGCAGTTTGCCTTTATTTAAAGCAAACAGCCAACCCAGATCCTTATCAATTCACCTATGCTTACTGCCCCCACAATGACACAAAATTAAAAGAAGAAATGAAAATGAATTCCTATGCAGACAACTCAGAAAATCAGCAATAGTGCTTGAGTACATCATCACTCCAACTATCTCCAATAGAGCACAAGTTTAATTAATAATTTTGGATGACCTAAAAAACCATTAACAAATGAGAAGTTGATATATTAACGTCAAGGCAGGCCATAAAGCAATACATATTGTTTCCATTCTTTTTTTTTTATCTTTCCCAGGCGACCAAGACGCAGCACAACTCAGGTACAGATGTTCGTACAAATAAAGACAATATGAAGACAATTAAAATAAAAATAATACCGGGACAAATTGAAACATGATAAGAGTGCCACGTCAGGAATTGAAATCTTCATTGTTGGTTGTGATATGTCAATCATAGTGTCTCTCTGATTTTCTTTTTTAATGTTTATTGCATTTAAAGTAAATAATGAGACAAAACAATGTGATGGAAAGGTCTCAAAACAATTTGAACGGTAAGTGATTTCAAACACGGCTTGTTGAGTTGATATAAAGCTAATAAATTTTGGCGACTTCTTTTATATCTAAAGCAAATAGCCAAAACATTTCACTATCCAATGCCCCACAATAGAAAACGGTAAAATAAAGCTAGCCATCAGACAAATATGATATTCAGACTCTTCAAACCATATATTATTCAATGCTGTGCCTCTACTTGCTTTTTTTAGTTCAAATTAACCATCCCCCACCAACTCCCTACATTAATAAATAAGAAAAACCCTCTTCGTTTTTCGCTTCCTGTCTATTTCAAACAACTCTCTTACATTAAAAAAGACTGAAAAATATCAATCAGCCATTGTTAAAAAGAAAGTCAAAAGAATTCTCCAGCATTTGTACGATTTTAATGCAAAGTTAAAAATGAAATAAATAGTACTATGGAGAGAAAAGGAGCTAAGCAAGGAAGCTTTGGAAAATAGGAACGATGGGATTGGACTTTCGGTCTTTCCTAATGGTGTCTTTACACCGACCTGGCCCACCACATTAATTAAAGAATGGAATACGTGACTTATCCTCATCTTTCCACGTGGAAATGTCAGTTTTTAATAGGAAATAAATAATAAATAAAAGGATGGTCCCACAAATTTAATCCAGTAGTAGTTGTTGAAATACGAAGAGGTACGATGCACGGTGATGTACGGATTGTTGGACCTTTCTGTTTGGATGTCCAGGGTTTTTACGATTTTTCTTATTAATTAGTCGATGCACACAATTCACAAAAAAAAATAATAAAAAACGTTTGCCTTAGCGTAAGAAGAAGACTAATAAATATTAATTGCTAAAAATTGAAATATTATGCTTCGTCGGCGGTAGTACTCGGAGATTAACTACCGTTAGATTAGATTTAGTTTGATCATGCAACTGTGATTAGAAGTTATAAAATTTATATTTCGATAATTTTGTTTTGGGTAAAACTTATCATACTGCTTTGACAGTAATACTTAGAAATTAACTACCATTATATTAGGTTCATTTTGATCATGCAATTATGATTAGAAGTTATAAAACTCATATTTCAATAATTTTGTTTTGCGTAAAACTTATCTTATTACATCTATTGTTGTATTCATAGATTAACTACCGATAGATTAGGTTTAGTTTGATTATGTTGTAGTGATTAGAAGCTATAAAGCTCATATTTCAATAATTTTATTTTGGGTAAAACTTATCATGTTATGTTGATAATAGTACTCAAAGATCAATTACCGTTAGATTATGTTCAATTTAATCATACAGTTGTGATTACAAGTTATAAAGCTCATGTTTAAGTAATTTTGTTTTGGACAAAATTTATCATGTTGCATCAATAATAGTACTCAGAGATTAACTACGGGTGGATTAGATTCAATTTAATCATTTAATTGTGATTAAAAGTTATAAAGCTCATATTTAAGTAATTTTGTTTTGGACAAAATTTATCGGAAAAATGAATGATGTTGAGTAGAAACATACTTTCTGTACAGCCAATAAAAGAAAATTATTCCAAGCTTTGACTTTGTTATGCAAAAGGAAAAAGGAGAGATGCATCCCACGGTCACAGATTCAAATCTCTCTGGTTCTCAAGATGTTAGTGGGGACTAGTGACAGTGGATAAACTGACTCAAAAAAAAAAAAAAAAAAAAAAAAAAAAAAAGACGGCATCATATGTAGAACTGCTCGAGATTTTAGCAGTTTTTAAGGTATTTGAAAAGTTTTTAGTAGAAGTTTTTAAAACACCTAGTTTATACTTAGGAGTTTATTTTCTAATGGTTTTAACATTTTTTTTAAAATGATAAATTTATATATATATTTATAAAAATATCACAACGCTAATTGGGAGTTTTGTTTTTTCAATTATAAGGTAAAAGTTTTTTATTTATTTTCTATTTATTAGTATTTTATAATTTCAAATGTGATAAAGTTTTCTTATCTTTCTTCGCTATTCTTTGTAGCGTCTAGAATGACTGAAAAATTGTAACTCAACTTCTCCAAAAAAACATTTAGAAATAAGATTTTAATAATTTTTTTTTAATTGCTTAAAATTATTTTATATTTAATATGATTGAAGACGTGCATAATATGGTTTTTTTTTTTTTTTATATATATAATTGGGATAGTTTTATAGTAGATAGGATATTTGTTGAATAAAATTTTAAAACTAACTAAAACACCTCGATTTGGGGTATTTTATAAACCTCTAAAAAATACACTATACTAATTTTAGGGGGTTTTTAAGCTGGTCAAAATTAGCATATATAAAATCTAACAAATAATGATTTTAAAACACTATAAAACAGGGTAATTAAAACTCCTCAAAACCTGTGAAAAAAAAACTCCCAACAATTTAATTACAATGACCTCTGATAATAATGTTTGCTATTGATGATGCACAAAAACATTGGCAGATAGAGACATATCATATATAGTTAAATTTACTGTTGATAATATTTTGTCCCACGCTTTGCCTGGACGACCAAGATGCAGAAGAACAGCCCAGTACATGTGTCCGTACAACAAGGAGACTGTCGTAAATATAATACAGAAACTATATAGACAAATTGTAAAACATGGTCAGAATTGGACATTTTATTTTTGTTATGTTGATACTTGGTTGGGAGATGTCTACCATAGCATTTCCTTTAATTCCGAGAGATTCAAAACATGGTTCTATTACTTGTCGATTTTGACATAAAGCTTTGAAACTTAGGCATGCAGTTTGCCTTTATTTAAAGCAAACAGCCAACCCAGATCCTTATCAATTCACCTATGCTTGCTGCCCCCACAATAACACAAAATTAAAAGAAGAAATGAAAATGAATTCCTATGTAGACAACTCAGAAAATCAGCAATAGTGCTTGAGTACATCATCACTCCAACTATCTCCAATATAGCATTAACAAATGAGAAGTTGATATATTAACGTCAAGGCCAGGCCATAAAGCAATACATATTGTTTCCATTTTTTTTATTTTTTTTATCTTTCCCAGGAGACCAAGACGCAGCACAACTCAGGTACAGATGTTCGTACAAATAAAGACAATATGCAGACAATTAAAATAAAAATAATACGGGGACAATTGAAACATGATAAGAGTGCCACGTCAGGAATTGAAATCTTCATTGTTGGTTGGTTGTGATATGTCAATCATAGTGTCTCTCTGATTTTTTTTTTTTTTTTAATGTTTATTGCATTTAAAGTAAATAATGAGACAAAACAATGTGATGGAAAGGTCTCAAAACAACTTGAACGGTAAGTGATTTCAAACACGGCTCGTTGAGTTGATATAAAGCTAATAAATTTGGGCGACTTCTTTTATATCTAAAGCAAATAGCCAAAACATTTCATTATCCAATGCCCCACAATAGAAAACGGTAAAATAAAGCTAGCCATCAGACAAATATGATATTCAGACTCTTCAAACCATATATTATTCAATGCTGTGCCTCTACTTGCTTTTTTTAGTTCAAATTAACCATCCCCCACCAACTCCCTACATTAATAAATAAGAAAAACCCTCTTCGTTTTTCGCTTCCTGTCTATTTCAAACAACTCTCTTACATTAAAAAAGACTGAAAAATATCAATCAGCCATTGTTAAAAAGAAAGTCAAAAGAATTCTCCAGAATTTGTACTATTTTAATGCAAAGTTAAAAATGAAATAAATAGTACTATGGAGAGAAAGGGAACTAAGCAAGGAAGCTTTGGAATATAAATCATGGAATGGGACTTTCGGTCTTTCCTAATGGTGTCTTTACACCGACCTGGCCCACCACATTAATCAAAGAATGGAATACGTGACTTATCCTCATCTTTCCACGTGGAAATGTCAGTTTTTAATAGGAAATAAATAATAAATAAAAGGATGGTCCCACAAATTTAATCCAGTAGTAGTTGTTGAAAACTTGAAATACGAAGAGGTACGATGCACGGTGCTGTACGGATTGTTGGACCTTTCTGTTTGGATGTCCAGGTTTAATGGTTTATACGATTTTTCTTATTAATTAATCAATGCACACAATTCACAAAAAAATAATAAAAAACGTTTGCATTAGCGTAGGAGGAAGACTATTAAATATTAATTGCAAAAAATTGAAATATTATGCTGTGTCGACCGTGGGACTCGGGGATTAACTACCTTCAGATTAGATTTCGTTAGATTAGATTTAGTTTGATCATGCAGTTGTGATTGGAAGTTATAAAGCTTATATTTCAGTGACAGTAATACTCACAGATTAACCATCGTTATATTAGGTTTATTTTGATCATGCAATTGTGATTAGAAGTTATAAAACTCATATTTCAATAATTTTATTTTGCGTAAAACTTATCATGTTGCGTCGATTGTAGTATTCGTAGATTAACTATCGTTAGATTAGGTCTAGTTTGATCATATTGTTGTGATTATAAGTTATAAAGCTCATATTTCAATAATTTTTTTTAGGTAAAACTTGTCATGCTGTGTTGATAGTAGTACTAAGATGTTAACTATTGTTAGATTATGTTCAATTTAATCATGCAGTTGTGATTATAAGTTATAAAGCTCACATTTAAGTAATTTTGTTTTGGACAAAATTTATCATGCTGCATCAACAGTAGTACTCAGAGATTAACTATCGATAGATTAGGTTCAATTTAATCATGTAATTGTGATTAAAAGTTATAAAGCTTATATTTAATTAATTTTGTTTCGGACAAAATTTATCTTGCTACATCAACAGTAGTTCTAGGAGATTAACTACCGTTAGATTAGGTTCAATTTGATCATGTAATCGTGATTAGAGGTTATAAAGCTCGTATTTAGTAATTTTGTTTTGGGTAAAACTTATAAGGCTAAAAGATTTGATAAGCACGGAGAGTTTTGAGGAAGTAGAATCCGCGTACACACGTGTTCAACATCTAACGTGTCCAGCGCAAGGAAGGCCGTAGGATAATAAATCAGTGCGCGCAACACCTTAACTACGTCAGACTTGGTCGTTTTTGTCTCCACACTAGAAAAAAAATTAGTGTACTCGTTGAATAGAGGGTGTACGTGTTCAAACTCTCAATTTCTTAAAAGCCACATGGTTGAACTTTGTGGTCCTATTCAGATTCTTGAGCATCCCATATTGAAGAGCCGCACAGATATGTCTTGACCGCAACCACAATTAATATTATCGAATTCAAATTGCAAATCCTGGTCAGATTCCAGACCTTTTTTTATTTTCAATCCAAGGGTGTAAACTCAATTATTCAGCTTGAGTGAGTTTGACATCTGACGATCCACACATCTCTGTCATCTAGCGGATGTAAGTGCCTTCAGTGGTAATCTTGCCGCAACGACTTTATAATCTGACCCTTCTTTTATCTGACTATTGACTCCCTCTAAAATGCGCTCTCCTCATCCTATATAACTAAACATTTTTCCTCTCTTCCAACAATCGTGTGCAGAACTGCAGATTACATCTCTTCTTGAGTTCCCCCACTTTTGACTATAAATTCTTCCAATTTCTTCATATAAACCTCCTCCAAGAGAACCAAATTCTTCACCCACCACCGTCCGGCCTACAAGTATAAAAGAGAGAATTTGATTCTTAAGAGATATTCAAGCAATCTTGGTGATAATTTCGAATGAAAACATCGTTTTGTGAAGGGAATAAGGATGTCAAATATACCAACATCTCTCTCTGAAGTATGCCTCACTGTCTGTCGTCTTACCATGTCCATCGCTGACCCATGGTCTTCTCCCCTTTCTCCTGAATTTCTCTTTCCTTTAACAAAACCCATAAAATCAGTCTCGTTTTTTACACATTAAAATCAGCTCAATTTCGAAAGCCTCTGTATTCGTTTTTGTAATCTGTCACCGAAAAAAAACCCATGAGAAAGATAAGAGGATTCAAGATTGGGAAACGCTTGATCCGGTTCACGAGATGGGTCATCCGAAAATCAAGGAGTAGATCCGGATACCATCGTTTAGCTTCACCGGACGCGTCATGCAAAAGCAAATCAATTTCGAAACTCGTCAACTGGGGTCGTCGGTTAACAAACGGAGCGAAATCTCTCTGCTTTACAAAACTCAAATCGGGTTACATCCCGATGGATAATGACCCAATTAACGAGAAACCAGTTGAAGTACCGAAAGGATACTTGGCTGTTTATGTTGGACAAAAAGACGGTGATTTTCACAGGGTTTTAGTGCCTGTGATTTATTTTAACCATCCTTTGTTTGGTCAGCTTTTGAGAGAAGCCGAGGAAGAGTATGGGTTTCACCAACAGGGTGGTATTACAATCCCTTGCCGCTATTCAGAGTTCGAGCAGGTCCAGACCCGGATAGCTGCCGGCTCACGTTCCCGGAAGATGACGTGGAAACGCAACTATTAAACGTTGTGAATGATGGATGATGACGACGACGACGATAAATATTACACGATATAACGGTGGAGATGGCGTTATAGGATTTTTGATTAGGTAGTGCTTTTACTTTCCTTTTTCACTTTTTTCCACTTTTATTTTTTCTTTTTTAAGCATAATGTAATTTAGATGTACATTTATACAAGTCGTGCTTTTGGCTCTAATGGTGTTTCCAGATCATAATTACGTTGATTATTATATGATAATGATTTTGACATTATCTATAACCCATTAAAATAGTCAATTTAATTAATAAACTGGGCCTGACAGAGATTATTTATCGGCGATAATGGTGTATTAACAGTAATGGGATAAGAAGTCAGTATGATTTGTTATTTTAGATAATACTTTAGAAATAGTATTGGGTAGTTGAATAAGGTAATTATTATGGGATAAAATTTAAAAATTAAAAAAAAAGTTTTTAGGTTTGCTAATTCAACTAAACACTCAATATATAAAAATTTTGTGAAATAAGAAAAACACCCCCAGCTACCCATGGTGCCAGATTTCGATCACCATAATAAGAATTTGACGTTACGATGTAGACCGGTTGGATCTAGTCGGTCGTATGTCGATCTGACATTTTCTGACTAGATCCACTAGCTGAAAAATGTCAGATCTACACCATCGTTGTCCTTCAATGACGACCATTTATTTGGTCGTCGCTGAAAGCCAGATTAACAAATTATCAATCAGTTTTGGTCCTTTGTATGTCGTTATGACAGATTCTAGGTACCATCGATGGTCTGACAACTATGGGTTTGTAGGGGTATTTTTGTTAATTTTTAAACTTTTTTTCTGATGGTATTTAATTAAATTAATAAACTTAAGGGGTCTAAAAATAATTGAATAAAATATAATATTATTTCCTAACTAATGAAACAAACAGGCTTTGTTTGATACACTCTTTAAAGTGTTATTCTAGTTTTTCTAATAAAATTAAACAGAAAATCAACCAAAAAAATATATTTATTTCAATATTTTTACAATTATATTATATTTTATTAATTTTACAAAATATTAATAATTATATTTCTTATAAAAATAATATAATAATTTAATAATGAACCAAATGAAGCTTATTATTTTGAGAATATAATTGAAAATAGAGTATAAAATAATAAACTTATCTCCAGAATTTTACTTGATTTAGTCCCGCACGTTCACCTGCCTCTGGCTGCCAGGAATATTAGGAATTTGTCGTTTTCAGGCAGAGAATTTAATAAAATAAAGAGTTAGGTGTAGGTTCCTTTCTTCAATATGACTCGTTATTTGTCTGGAAACTCTATTTTCTTTCAAAATCTTGTATTAATTGTAGTCGCGTAAAATTTTAGAAGGATAATTTGGTTCTGATATGATTTGCACCATAAGTGTCTCTATCAGTAAGTTGATATTAGTGGAGGTATACTGGCGAATCTTTTTATCAAAATCATTGGGTAGACTCTGGACTGTGGAGGCAAACCCACCACAACTTTGATTGATTGGAGAAATCTTAATCTTATATGAATATCTGTCGCATGCTCATTTCATCATCTTGTACCCGACATCCCATTTGGCTCGCATTTTTTGGCATATTATCTTGTAGATTATTACCACTAATATCTTGTGGATCCATGCATTTAAGAAAAGTATCTGGAATTGCAAAGTAGTAATCAAATAAAGAAATCATATGGGTAAAGTTTCTTTGAATTTGCTGGGTAAAAGGGATATAATTAATTAGTTTGAGGTCTGGTCTCTGTATTCAAGAATCGTGTTGCATTTGCCCACTCCTGGGGATGGAGGAGAATGTCTTGGTTATGCAATTAATTAGATGCATAAGATGGGGGGGTGGTGGTGGTCCATATCTTGCACTTTTGGCAGTCACAATTGATTGAACCAGTTTCAGTTTTTTTTATGAGGTTCTGGGAAAGGCATCTTCTTCAGGGAGTAATGTATCTTAAATCATATATATCATCACTCATGCTGACTTGGTCTGCTATTATTTGAATGTCAATTATTTGCCTTAAAGTTTTAAACCAAAATATGCAAGTGGGTGATTTTAGACCCTATCAGTGCTTTAAATTAAGCTTGAACTGGTCCAGTTGAGGCTTAATTATAATTGATAAAGCAATGTGAAGGCTAAAAAACTAAAAATGCCGTTGATTGCAGGTAACAGCGGCCAGGTCTTGATTGGAGAAGAGAAGGTTATCTAATTATAACACGTTAAGGCTTTTGCGCGTAATCTGCAAGGAGGTTTCCCTAAGAATCGACATTTAGTATTAGTTGTTTGTAATTGTTAACAATGTTAGGTTTAAATATTAATGTTTGAATATCCTATTTAATGTCAGTCGTTCCAAGTTCTTACAAGGAAAAAAGAGCTGAACTTTACGTGGCAGCTTTAACCATGAGAAGTTATGTGCATCTCAGGAGTATGATTTTTACCAGAGCAGGTCGATTAGTTGGTAATGATCAATTAATTATTTGCAGCTAGCTTCAGATGATTCTACAAGATGGATTGTCATGGACCCTTAATACTATGGATTCCTAGTTTCTTAAGCTGAACGACTCTTATTGATGATATATTGTTTATTCAGAGAGCAGAGGACGAAACATGATCCAAGTGAGAAATCAGGCAATACATATTGTCGAAATGATCCAGCTGTTAGCGTAACTTTCTCCTACAAATGCGTATTTGATTGTTTCTTCATTTTGCTCATATTTGTTTCCTTATTATATGCTTGACAGCTCAATGTATAGATATAAATATAATGGAAAACTACACGGCTTGAGTGTGTTAGCCTAGCCAAAGACATTTCATCTTTCTGTTGTATTTTTTAAGATTTTACACAGGTCATCGTTAAATTATGATTATTGATTTGATAGTCTTTTGATAACTACAGGGGCTAACTGCTCTGGGGGTGTTTGTCTAAACTTATAAGCTGTTCAAATTAGCTTATAAGCTCTAAAATTAAGCTGACCTGTTTGTTTATAACTTTTTTAAGCTTATAAGTTGAGCTTATAAGCCAAAAAAAAAAAAAGTTGGGGGAAGGTACTTTTTTTTTTTTTTTTTTTGCTTATAAGTTAGTTTGACCAAGTATATTACCACATTATCCTTGTTTAATTTTAAAATTTCATAGTATACCCTTATTTAATATAATATCATTTTTAGTCATTTTATAATAAAATATACTTATAAGCTACATTTTATCAAACACGTCAACTACTTATTAGTTACTTATAAGTACTTTAATAAAATACGTAATTACTTAAAATTTTAAATATTTAACACTTGTTATTTACACTTGTTATTTATAAGCTAATTTTTATAAGACAAACACCTGACTCTGTTTGGAATTGGCAGACTGCTGATCATTAACCTTTGGCACAAAATGGGCAGTGTTCATTTTTCCTACGAGGGGACATCAGTACTTACGGGAGTAATTAGATCTATCAGAAAGCTGATTTAAAATCTTACAAATCGAAAGACGCAAGAGCAAATTTGAAGTTACTGGCCCAGATCATTAAAACTATTGGTACAATATGCTCATCTTTATGACAATTATTCACTTATGATAAAGTATTTAATTTAATTTAAGAGAGCAGATGCTACTGTCGAGTAGACCCCTGAGGACCAAGTGGACCCTTATTCTTGATAAAAATTCCAACATATGAGAGAATTTAAGAAAAACCAAAAAGCAATCACGCACTATCTCACTCGCACTATCACACCACAATTTAAAACAAAACAAAACGAAACAAAGGAAAGCATATTTAGTAAAAAACAAAGGAAAGAAATGTTGAGAAGTCTTCAGTTATACTCCTCCAACAAAACCGTTCTAGCTCTTAGACTTTCTCCAATCTTCATTATCTTATTTTCTCTGATCACTTATAATGGCTGCTTTGTCAAAGCTCGTATCTTCATCTATGCAGGCTGTTCTCAGGAGAAGTATGACCCCAACTCACCCTATGAAGCTAACCGTAACTCTCTCTTGGCATCAGTTGTTAGTTCATCTTCTCAAGCCGCATACAATAGCTTTGTTATTGGAAATGGAACCTCAACGCCACCTGAAGCCAACATATATGGTTTATATCAGTGCAGGGGTGATTTGCAGACTACTGACTGCTCCAGATGCATTGAAAGTGTCGTTAATCAGATTGGTTTGGTTTGTCCATACTGTTATGGGGCTTCTTTGCAACTAGAAGGATGTTATGTAAGATATGAGCATATAGATTTCTTAGGAAAGCTTGATACAAGTCTTAGGTATAAGAAGTGCAGTACACATGTAAATAACGATGTTGAGTTCTATAAACGCAGAGATGATGTTTTAGCTGATTTGCAAACAGCTATTGGTTTTAAAGTCAGTAGTTCTGGTTTAGTCGAAGGTTTTGCACAGTGTTTGGGTGATTTGAGCTCAACTGACTGCACTACTTGCCTTGCCGAATCTGTTGCCAACTTGAAGAATTTATGTGGCTCCTCTGCTGCTGCTGATGTGTTCCTGGCTCAGTGTTATGCCCGCTACTGGGCATCTGGCTACTACGATTATTCAGGTGAACATCATGCTCATTTTTTATCTCCTTGTCTTAATGAGGCATTGATTATTTTTGTTTTATTATTAGTATTATTATTATTATTATTATTATTTTGTTTCACAGTGATTATTGTTATGAACCAAGTTGCGTTAAGCTTTAAACCATACTGTGAACGCACCAAATCACTAAGAATCAAAAGATAATATTATTCTATCAAGGCAACGCCATTTTGAATATTCTGGTTCGTTTTTTGAGAAAGAGGGAGACCATTCGAAATTTTTTCCTGGCCAGGAGTCAAACAACTAATCCTTTTATAAAGTAAGGAGTAATGTATCTTAAATCATATATATCATCACTCATGCTGACTTGGTCTGCTATTATTTGAATGTCAATTATTTGCCTTAAAGTTTTAAACCAAAATATGCAAGTGGGTGATTTTAGACCCTATCAGTGCTTTAAATTAAGCTTGAACTGGTCCAGTTGAGGCTTAATTATAATTGATAAAGCAATGTGAAGGCTAAAAAACTAAAAATGCCGTTGATTGCAGGTAACAGCGGCCAGATCTTGATTGGAGAAGAGAAGGTTATCTAATTATAACACGTTAAGGCTTTTGCGCGTAATCTGCAAAGAGGTTTCCCTAAGAATAGACATTTAGTATTAGTTGTTTGTAATTGTTAACAATGTTAGGTTTAAATATTAATGTTTGAATATCCTATTTAATGTCAGTCGTTCCAAGTTCTTACAAGGAAAAAAGAGCTGAACTTTACGTGGCAGCTTTAACCATGAGAAGTTATGTGCATCTCAGGAGTATGATTTTTACCAGAGCAGGTCGATTAGTTTGTAATGATCAATTAATTATTTGCAGCTAGCTTCAGATGATTCTATAAGATGGATTGTCATGAACCCTTAATACTATGGATTCCTAGTTTCTTAAGCTGAACGACTCTTATTGATGATATATTGTTTATTCAGAGAGCAAAGGACGAAACCAGGCAATACATATTGTCGAAATGATCCAGCTGTTAGCGTAACTTTCTCCTACAAATGCGTATTTGATTGTTTCCTCGTTTTGCTCATATTTGTTTCTTTATTATACGCTTAACAGCTCAATTGTACAAATATAAATATAATGGAAAACTACACGGCTTGAGTGTGTTAGCCAAGCCAAAGACATTTCATTTTTCTGTTGTATTGTTAAGATTTTACACAGGTCATCGTTAAATTATGATTATTGATTTGATAGTCTTTTGAGAACTGCAGGAGCTAACTGCTCTGGGTGTTTGTCTAAACTTATAAGCTGATCAAACTAGTTTATCAGTTCTAAAATTAAACTGACATGTTTATTTATGACTTTTTTAAGCTTATAAACAAAAAAAAAAAATAAGTTGGGTGGAGGTACCTTCTTCTTCTTCTTTTTTTTTTTTTTTTTTTTTTTTTTTTTTTTGCTTATAAGTTAGTTTGACTAAGTATATTATCACATTATCTTTCTTTAATTTTAAAATTTCATAGTATATCCTTGTTTAATGTAGTACCCTTTTTAGTTATTTTATAATAAAATATACTTATAAGCTACATTTTACCAAACACGTCAACTACTTATTAGTTACTTATAAGTACTTTAACCAAATACGAAATTACTTAAAATTTCAAATGCTTAGCACTCGTTATTTATAAGCTAATTTTCATAAGCTCAGACAAACACCCTTACTCTTTTTGGAATTAGCAGACTGCTGATCATTAACCTTTGGCACAAAATGGGCAGTGTTCATTTTTCCTACGAGGGGACATCAGTACTTACGGGAGTAATTAGATCTAGAAAGCTGATTTAAAATCTTACAAATCGAATGACGCAAGAACATATTTGAAGTTACTGGCCCAGATCATTAAAACTATTGGTACAATGTGCTCATCTTTATGACAATTATTCACTTATGATAAAGTATTTAATTTAATTTAAGAGAGCAGATGCTACTGTCAAGTAGACCCCTGAGGACCAAGTGGACCCTTATTCTTGATAAAAATTCCAACATATGAGAGAATTTAAGAAAAACCAAAAAGCAATCACGCACTATCTCACTCGCACCATCACAGAACAATTTAAAACAAAACAAAACGAAACAAAGGAAAGTATATTTAGTAAAAAACAAAGGAAAGAAATGTTGAGAAGTCTTCAGTTATACTCCTCCAGCAAAACTATTCTAGCTCTTAGACTTTCTCCAATCTTCATTATCTTATTTTCTCTGATCACTTATAATGGCTGCTTTGTCAAAGCTCGTATCTTCATCTATGCAGGCTGTTCTCAGGAGAAGTACGACCCCAACTCACCCTTTGAAGCTAACCGCAACTCTCTCTTGGCATCAGTTGTTAGTTCATCTTCTCAAGCCGCATACAATAGCTTTGTTATTGGAAATGGAACCTCAACGCCACCTGAAGCCAACATATATGGTTTATATCAGTGCAGGGGTGATTTGCAGACTACTGACTGCTCCAGATGCATTGAAAGTGTCGTTAATCAGATTGGTTTGGTTTGTCCATACTGTTATGGGGCTTCTTTGCAACTAGAAGGATGTTATGTAAGATATGAGCATATAGATTTCTTAGGAAAGCTTGATACAAGTCTTAGGTATAAGAAGTGCAGTACACATGTAAATAACGATGTTGAGTTCTATAAACGCAGAGATGATGTTTTAGCTGATTTGCAAACAGCTATTGGTTTTAAAGTCAGTAGTTCTGGTTTAGTCGAAGGTTTTGCACAGTGTTTGGGTGATTTGAGCTCAACTGACTGCACTACTTGCCTTGCCGAATCTGTTGCCAACTTGAAGAATTTATGTGGCTCCTCTGCTGCTGCTGATGTGTTCCTGGCTCAGTGTTATGCCCGCTACTGGGCATCTGGCTACTACGATTATTCAGGTGAACATCATGCTCATTTTTTATCTCCTTGTCTTAATGAGGCATTGATTATTTTTGTTTTATTATTAGTATTATTATTATTATTATTATTATTTTGTTTCACAGTGATTATTGTTATGAACCAAGTTGCGTTAAGCTTTAAACCATACTGTGAACGCACCAAATCACTAAGAATCAAAAGATAATATTATTCTATCAAGGCAACGCCATTTTGAATATTCTGGTTCGTTTTTTGAGAAAGAGGGAGACCATTCGAAATTTTTTCCTGGCCAGGAGTCAAACAACTAATCCTTTTATAAAGTAAAGCTAGCATTAAGGTGCATCAGAACTTTAGTAGCTTTCTTTTTAAGGCACCTCCATTTTTACAGGCATTCTCCTCTTTTAACTAATCTTTCACCTTCGTTTGCGTTTTTTTATTTTTTATTTTATGTCTTACTTAGCTAAGAAACTTTTTATATTTCTTCTATATATACTATTGTTCGATAAAATTGTTTGATGAACACAAAGGTTTTATTTCATTGTATCTCTTATTAACCTTGGTCAATTCACACTCAAAAAGGAAAAGGTTATTAGCACAAACTTTCATTCAAATAAGAGCCATCAGCCATGAACTTTTGCCTTAAAAGCTCCAATAATAAAGCCACTGGATTCAGACCCTAAATGTTCCCTGTGTTGATCACAATTAATCAATAAACTACAAAGATAAAGATGTCTTTGAACTTTAAAATCTGTATAACTTTGAGCACTTAATTAATATTAAATTAAAAAAAAATTCAGAGAGAGCTTTATCAAATATATGTACGTGCTAGTGGCAGCCTTAATTGGTTTATCTCTTATACCAGTTTGTATAAATAAATTAATATAAGTATTAATTGATCGCCATTGCTTTTTCTTTTGCTTTTGCTTTTGATGCTTGTATAGATTCTTCCAACGAGGACCAAGTTGGAAAAACAGTCGCCATTATTGTTGGTGTATTAGCAGCTGTAGCAGTTCTCATTGTTTTCCTCTCAATTTGCAGAAGATTTATGGGTATATCTACATATATTCTTCTTTTTAATCTACATAGTTTTTTGTTTATTATCAACCTAATCATTGATTAACTGATAGTAATTAACGATGCAATAATTTTGCATGCAGACTAAGCAGACAGATCGTCATGTGATTTTTGTTCAGTGATGGAGGGTGAGCAACATCCATGTTGAAGGTTGGTTTATAATATTGTAATTGCAGCCACTCTGTTATCTTCAACTTTTTTCCCGTTTTAATACACTGTGATATAAAGTAGCAATGTTCTATAATCTCCAATCAAAAGGGCTGCTGATTTCCTTCATTCAAGCTGTACACACATTATCCACTTTTTCATATTTTATTTCAAAGTTTAATTTACTTTTTTGGCACATTGTTGTTTGTTGGTTTATAGCTGAGAGACATGAAATTGCTTTTTAAAACTAGTAAAATTTTACTTAATGGTATGAAGGTTTCATAACAATTATCTTTGCGATTAATCAACTAAGTATACATACTCTACCCAACCAAATCTCTGTTGAAAATGCCTAGAATAAAGAAGGAATTTTTATGTTAATATTGAATGAATTGAGGATATACTGTAAGTGAACCTTATAAAGACCTCTCGAATGTATATTCATGAAGATATCACAAATTTATATAAATGACTATACATTATTACTCATATAACAAATACCATGAATCTCATTTATAAAATCGATGACTTTCATTAAACTAAAATATCAATCATACACTTCCTGTTTAAAATCAACTACCTGCAGCATTTTCGTCCTCTAAATTCTCCCAATCCTACTTCTATTGTCACACAACTGTACAGCTTTGTGCCACCCTTAACTTTTAGCTCGATCAAGGAGGAGACGCGGGCACGAAAGCAAGATTCAGTCATTCCATTTAAGTCTATAGGCCGCTTTTAATCTTAAATTTTATGCAATGAATCTCAAATCAATCATGGGGAGAGGCACAGTCCATACAAAAGCCAATTTCTTACGATTTACGTGAATCAAACCAAGAACCTGAACACACGATGAATATTCTTTGTTATGACCATCAAGGAAGCACTTTGCCATTCTTTTCCAAACCATGAACTGGAATCAATGTCCATTAACCAGTAGGTACATTATACGTATAAACAGCAAACGGACGCCAAGTCGCCAGATATTGGTTCTTCCAAAAAAAAACAAGAAAACCACCGTGACTTGCTCATACCATTCCCCTTGATTAGAAATCGGAAACCAAGACTTGGAAGAGACATTCTTCCTTGAAGGCACAAAGATGTAAGTCCTGTGAAGTAGCTGTATGAGATACACCCAAATAGGCATAGGATTAGTTATTAGTTAATGCAGCAGAGAATAACTTAAACTGGAATAAGATATTTCAGACGTAGCCTATTAATCCAACATTTAGTGACTATTAAAAGGAGGCTCAGGGTTCATTATACGTAAGAGATAATAGAAGAAGAAAAATTATTTTAAAAAAAAAACCCCAGCCACCAAAAACACATCTAAGAATATTAGCAACTTGTTTTGCCATTCTTCTTAGTGTTTAATCTTCATATTCTCTGCCATCCCAAATAAGAAATTGTTCTTGATTCCATTGTATTGGGATAATCTCCATCAACACCAGATCCTATGTGTATTGATCTAGAGGTACCACACTTGTGATACTTGGAGAGTATTCAACGATGAGAACAATACAGCCAAGGAGTCGATAATATTTAATTTACTCGTTAATTCTGTAATTTAGATTCTTTATATTGATATATAATATACATATTTATTTGTGATGCATATATACATATTCAAGGGTTATTTACATTAAAATGTCACTACCACGATCATAATGACACTATGTAGAGGAAGTTTAAAATCTGGGCAATCGGACGATTCCACTAAACATTCCTAACCACAATAGTGGTATCAGAGCAGCGTTTTATTGAAAATAAAGGTTTTATGACGTTTTGGGGTCCTCTGTAACGATGTTCTGTTTTTTGGTTAATTCATGCCCTTAATAGTAATATTTTTTTTTGCTAAAATCTTTCATGAATAGAGTTAACATGTTGATGAATGATTTTGGAAATTTTTAGATCGTTTTGATATCAACAAGGTTGATTTTTGGCCAAAACAAGCAGCCCTTGAAAACAGTTTATTCACTGGTGAGAGGCAACAACTACTAGGGTTTTAAAAAAATGCGGAAACCAAACCGAATCAATAACAAAACTAGTTTTTCAATTATCTAGAAAAACCGGTTTGGTTTCGGTTAAAAAAAAATACAAAAATCAATTTTACGGTTCAATTACCAGTTTACGAGAATATGGAAACCAGTTTATTATAAAAATATTAAAATATAAAATAAACTACAAATCTCTAAATCCCCTTTTCATTCTCTCTTCTAATCAATGAATCTTCTTTCTCCACATTAGAGGCAAGTAGCTTTTCCTTCTTTGTCGTTCTTCGTTCTCACCTCCAACACAACTTTGTCTACCTCCTTCTCAATTTGTCCAGCCACTCGCCAGCTTTGTCACTCTTCTTCTTCAGCTTAGTCCCTCATCTTCTTTAGCTTCGTCCCTCTCCAAATTCGTCACAAACAATCAGGTAAGTTTTGGCGTTTTGCAGCTTTGTGCGTTTGAGATTGGTTTGGAGTTTTATGGTTACGTGGTGGATAATGTAGTGTGAATAGGGACGTAGCAAGGATTTTTATTCAGTAGGATCAAAACATCTAAGTTGATAAACCGAAACCCCAAATCTTATAACTTAGTTTTTCAAACAACTTCTACTAACGTAATAAAATTCAACTCATAAAGCTATGAAAACTTATCAATCCAACTCTAAATATCAAGCAATTAACCAATATATCAAAATTAAACAAAATCTCCAAATCTCTACAACTTAGGGTTTCATTGATTCTTCAAACCATTCAAAATTAACTCAATAACTAACCAAAATTTATCAAACCCAACTTAAAACAATAACTAATTAACTCATACCTCATCATAAACAAGATTAAATCAAAACCCAAAATCTAGGACTTTAATCTTCCATTTCAAACTTATTTATTAAATTCAACAAAAACTCATAGCTCATGATCTTTCATCAATTAAGAAATCTAAAAGAAAAGAATTTTAAGTAAAAAATAAAATAAAAAATGAGCATCATTTTACCTTGTAATCCAAAGAAGTAATATTTGTTGAGTATCCAATAAAAAAAAAAAAAGAGATAATACGAGAGAAAATGACGAAGAGAGAAAAGTTAAAAAAATGTTAATTAATAACTCATTTTTGTGGGGTCAAAACTATAAAATCCATAAAATATAAGACTTTTTTTGAATTTTTTAAAAAGTTGAGTGGGTTCAATTGAACCCACAAGTCTCTATGTGGCTATGTCCCTGTGTGTGAATTTGACTCTTATATGGTGCTTGCCAGCATCTAGGATTGATGTTTGAAAGTTCAGTAGCAGAGCCTCTTTAGGACCGACCTTTTTCACAAATTTGCCCCTTCTCCTTAAGTGGGATGAAGACTTGGAGGCTACATTTGTTTTACTTTTTAGAATAGTATTCTATAGTAGAATACTATTTAATCAAATATGATAGGATTCTGAGAATGTGTTTTGGAAAATATTTTCTAAAAATATTTAGATTACTTTTAACCCTCAAATTTGTTAACTTAACTAAACACCCCCACAATAAAAGTTTATAAATTAACAAAAACACCCTCACCCACCTAACTATTGCCAACAACTGGCCACCACCATCGAACGGTGGTTGGAAGCCGCCAGAATGACGCATGATCGGCCATGGATATGGCTGATCGTGCGCCGATCTAGCATTTTCTGGCTATATCCATCATGGATCTGACCGAAAATGGCTATATCTACGGCCAAAGATCTGGTTGTTGATGACAGCCATATCTTGGTTGTCGTTGACAACCAAACAACGGCTAGAAATCTGGCCGTCAATGACGGCCAAACGACCGCAAGCCACCACCGTCGACTACTGCCACCTCCATTGATTGTCATCGGCAGTCATCAAAACAATGCATGGTCAATCAGATCTAGTCCACCATAGATTGATCTGGCCGTTTCTAATCAGATCCATGGATCTGACCTTCGTTTCCGGCCAGATCGACGTACAATTGGCTAGATCCAACCGATCATATGCCGTTCTGGTGACTGGCGGCGATGGTGGCCGACAAACAACAGTCATCTTGGGTGGCTGGGGGTATTTTGGGTATTATTCATTTAAATAGTGAGGGGCATTTCTATCCAAAAAAATTAATATATGAGATTACAGAAGTCATTTCGCACATTTTGGCTAATTGTTATTTGATAGAAATATGAGGGAATTTATGTCCAAAATGTTCATTAATTAAGGGTAAAATTTGTATGAACAGTGGATTACCCTGGTAATAAAAAAATAACACCATTTTAGTCGGTAATCAGATTATCCCTCATATTACATATGCAGTAATCACTATTAGTATTAAAAGATTACTGAATTTTTTTATTACTTGACAACCAAACATGGTAATAACCGGATTAAAAAATAGATTACTGGAATTATCTTTTATTACCCTGAATTACCAAAAAGTAATGAAATCATAAGAAAGAGGAGGCAATAGATGATTATTAATAATGATAACAACCGTCTTACAAATTGGTCTCTGGAAAATTGTTTATTGTAATATAGGTGTGTTTGTTTTATTATTTTGGGTAAGATTTTTGAAAAAGTTGAGTTGGCTGGTTGTTACGAAGTAGGATTTTAAATTAACAAAAACACCCCCTAGATGTGTTAATTTAGCTAAACACCCATACAATAAAACATTAAAAATTTACAAAAACACCCCACCCACCCATTAAAAGCTGACAACTGGCCACCACCACCGAAGGGTGGGTGGGGGTGTTTTTATCAATTTTTAAACTTTTTTTTTGGTAGGAGTGTTTAGTTAAATTAACAAACCTAGGGGGTTTAAAATAGTTAAATAGAATAGAATAAGATTTTTAGAATAAAGAAACAAATATGTATTTTGGGTAGGATTTTTGCTACCCAAAATAGAGAAACAAACACACTTGGAAATATTTTCCATTGAAATAATTTATTAAAAAAAAAAAATTCCATCTTTGGCCAGGCCCGAATTAAACCCATCTACAGAAACCAAAGTGCATCATCTATGGGGAAGGCTTTGTGTGTGAAATATCATTACAATACAATACGAGATAAAAGTCTTTCAAACCCCATGTGAATGTGATTTCTTCGTCCATCTTTTTCCTCTTTTCTTTAGTTTTCTGTTGTTATGAGATATATTATATTATTACCTGCTTTTGCAGACTCTGTCTTTCTCTTTCATTGCTTTAACCCACTGGGGTTGGGGTTATGGTTT